TTGTAGATTTAGGCTGTGTCTCCATTGGGAATTTTTGCCCTGATTGCAGCTATCGGTGTCCCAGCTCCACCAAGGCTGAATAGGGTAAAGCACTAGAGTAAAGGGCAAGCCACACCTTTGCATTGTTGATCTCTGTTTCAAAGAGTGGTGAGCTTGGCCAGTACAAGTGGTAGCTTGACCTAGGGGTTTGCCTGGGTTCACCTAGTCCAGGGGCTGGAATTGGGGCAAACTCCCAATGTAGCTGATGCTTGAAATGCTGTGGAAAAGTTGGAATCAAGAGGAAAAGCAGGTCCTTGTTCTGGGCATGGAAGATAGGGGGTGTTCATTTTCAGAGAAATTGAAACATGTCATTGACACCACCCTTTGTGTGTCTGCATAGACTCTAGCCACTCCTGTGGATTGCCGACATTTCTGCATGGGAAGTTCTTAAACTGTTCCACTCCCCATGAAGTGGCCATAATTAATGCAGTGCTCTGAAAACTCACTAGTCATGGACAAACGTCCTACGGCTTGGAATTGGGGGGTGGGGGGATCATCTGGATAAGTTCAGATGCTTGATCCGAACCTGAGGCAAAGGTGGGCTGGGTAGTCTTGCACCGAAAGGCTTTCTTGCAAGGAGCATCAGAAATCCTGCTTCTAGCTAGGCTGCAAATAACAAGAACAACATTTCTTGCAGTTTTTTCTGAACTTGCACCTGAACCCAGAAGTGCTGAGTAGATGCTTGAAAACCAAACACAATGAGAAAAAGCCAGTGAAATGTTTCACCCCTCAGTGATGTGGTTCCAGTTTGGAGCAAGGGTTTGGATGGACTTTTATTTTCTCCAGACTGGTGAACCCATCCCTAAACTGTTCCTCCTTTGCTTGTCTTCCTACTCAGAGATCCGTTAACAACAAAGTGGAATTTGCATTGGTTTTATGTTAGTTCTGCTGACAGCTTCTTACGATGATCAACCGCAGAAATAATGGGGCCTGCATGGGGGAAGGCAACAAAATATTTCCTTGATGAGCTGAGTGGGGAATTAACATGTTAGAGGAGCCAAAACCATACATGGACATCTGGACCAACCAGTTGTAATTATCCTCCTGGATAGGTCGCTGCCTGCACAGTTAAAGCCCAGAAACTTTGGATCTCAGAGCACGAGCCTCTTCTGTCTGAGCTAAAGGAGCAGCTGTGCTCGCTCTGTGGAAGAAGTGGACTGATAAACCTCTGCATGTGATCTAGCCAGAGGCCGGAGACAAAGTGCCATGCTGTTAGGGGAGGTTACCCACTTGTGTTAAAAGCTGAAAAGCAAGTGATGGCACTAGTTTTATTGCTGCACGTGGATTTTTCAGAGCAGTCTAGGGAGTTTAGCCACACGTTTGGAATGTGTCTAAATCCCTTGGGCTGCTTGGAAAATCTCTAAGCGTTCATTGTTTTATGCAGACCTATCATTCTTGGTTGGCTTGCTTGTTTTTTGTTTCTTGCGCTTTGTAGCGGTGCAGTGCCTATTTCTCAGAGGTCTGTGTGTCGATCGTTGGTTTCTGGGGTTATCAGAGTGTGCACCGAACAGGGTTGGGGTTTTGTTTTCACTTTTGCGAGGGATGGGGGGGGACTTCAGGCTTCAGAGAAGTGGGTTTTTCTGGCACTAATGCCAGCACAGCTAACTCCCTCAAGCAAGGGTACCTAAAAGTTAGGAGGAGGAGTAATGTTAAATATTCTGATGGCTTCATGCCATGGCTGATGGAGGGGTAATATACAGACATAATCCTGTAATGGTTGGGAGATGGACTAATGTCCTGGTATGCAATAAGGCCAAAAACTTTTCCAGTAGAATCCATGAATATTCTGCCCCCTTATATATAAATAAACTGGCCTCCATTGCCTTTTGGCCTAGGTCTTTTCCAGCTCTACATTACTGTTCCTCGGTAGCTTTGTGGTACGATTGGGGTTAAGAAAAGGAAATGGGAGTACCAGGTTGCTCAGCTTGGAAGGAACCCAAAGCATCTGGGTTTCTCTAGCTGCTTCACCCAATCCATCGATCACAGACGTGCTCCAGTGAGAGAAGGCTTTGAATTACAGCTGTCCCAATGTTGTCCACCTGGATATAACCTTCCCTTTTCACAGGTTAGGCCGTATGGCTCCCCACTGTGAAGGTGGACGCTCAAGTCTTCCCCCGGATCTGTGTGTTTTTGCCTGTCTTCCGGCCACTGCAAGCCGGTGTGTTTGTGTTCTTATCTGTCCATGTGTGACATGAGAATGGGCTTGTTTTACTTTTATAGATTAAAAGCTTTTGGCTTTCAAAGCCCTCCTCATGCTGGTGTCAATGAGGATGTTCCATCAAAATGTTCATGGGTCATTATCCTGAGGCTTGGGGGCACCATCATCTGTTCGGGTGGAGATGCCAGCCCAAAAGCATGTCTCTGTTAAAGTGGGGGACACGGGCATCCTATAGGTTGACTTGTGAGCCTGTAAAGTTGGGGGGGGGGAGAAAGGGGGTCTCATCTCACGCTTCCCTTTGTGTAATGCCTTGTTTTTTATGCTTTGTGAATGTTGGCATGCTGTCATTGTGCTGACACCAAAGATCTTTGGGGAGTTTTTATCTTGGGTGTCTGGGAGGTGGTGATGGGAGGGATTCTGGCTGGTGTCTCCAGTTGAGTCTGCTAGTGAAATAGTAACCAATATTTAACCCAGTGAATTTCATGAGGGGTGGGTGGTGGTGTCCCCTCCTGACTTACCAGGATCGATGGCCTTTTCTCCAAGGTACAGTGGAGAAAGTTTGCACACTTGCGAGTGGAGGAATTGAGTTTCTCCTTCCTCCTTTGCTTTCTGTCCATTTAGCTGGGACGTAGGGCGGGTGTTGAGACACGCTGGAGGCTGCTGTAGTGGAGTGGTGCAGGCTGAAGCAAGGAGCTCTTGCAGGCATGTGCATCTTCACAGGTGTTGATGCTTTAATGAAGTGCTCCACGCTACCCCTTCTGGGCCAGCCTAGGTACCAGAGGACTAAGAGCACTGTGCTGATAACTTAACTCCACAGGCAGCATCTGAAAGCGGGTAGGCGAAACTGACTAGATGGTGAGTTCAGAGCAGTGGGCTAAGGTGACTCAGGGCTGGGTGAAGGCACAGATCTCTGCTGCTGGTGGGGGATGCTCAAAGCGATCTAAAGCAGTGACTTGAGAGTACACTGGAGTGCTAACAACTCCCTCCACTTCAGGAATCCCTGAGTGACCTTTTCATTGAGGAATTTATGCAGGAGGTGAAATTAGAGGATGATCCTTTCTGCCCTCAAAAAACAGAATCTGCTCCATTTCCGTCCAACACAAATGGTTGATTGGAACTCCCCCTCCACTCACTGGGGGAAGGAGTGAACCCAGTGGGTTGCAGCAGGTCATGACTGTAATGGGATGATGATGAACATCTTTGGAATGTAACTTTCAATGAGGGCTGATGTCTAGGCTAAACCAGTGTCTGCAATTCCATGACCCCCAGCACTCTCCAGAGCCCGTTGGCGGGGGAAGGTTGGGAGCTGTGGACAGGAGTAATTCATGCAATGTGAGGCATAGCACTCTGACAGCATGGGAACTCAGGAATGTGGCCAGAGGTTAATTAGAAATACTTGGGGGTGAGGGGGAAACAAGTAGGTAGCATTTTATTTTGCAAAACCAGGGTGCAATTTGGATCTGGATAGCACTTTTCTCTGCCCTCTCAAGGTTGTGAGGGTTTGGAGTAGTGATTCTGGTTTGTCAGCTCTCTATAGAAGCCATTTAAATGTACGAGGATGCATTCATTGAACTGACCTTTAGAATGCATACACCCTGAGTGTTCCTTGCGTACAAGTCATTCAAGGGAACGGATGCAATCTTCCGCGCTCCATGTATGTGCATTGGCTGCAATGGAATGACCTACATCGCACGCGCACGTGCGGTTTTGCGGGTTTGGGGTGAGTGTGACCATGGAAACCTGCCACATCCCGCAAGGCAGAGAAGTCACCGTCGCCAAAAATGCAGCGTTAACCAGGTCGTTGCCTACTTCACCTTAGTGTGTTGAAAATGTGAATTGCACCTTAAACCTGTGACCGAATAAACTGACTTGACTGCACGGTGGGGCAAGAGAGCGTTAGGCTTTCAGGCTTGGATTTTCAAAGGAACCTGAGGAACTTGTGAATGGGATGCCTTAGGCTCCTTTATAAATTCTGCCCAACTTGAGATGCAGAGGGCCTGATTTGCAGAAGCGCTCAGCCCCCATGACTGTTGTCGGAGCGAATGGGAGCTGTGGGCACCTCACGTCTCTGGAAAGCCAGGTCCGACATATGTCAAGCTGGGCACCTGAAAGCAGCGGCTGCTTTTGGAAACGCTGGCCTTAAACGTGTTGGCACAGGCAAGGATCAGAAGCTCGTGACCAGAATCTAGACTACAACGTGGAAACTCGCACCGCTTTGGTTTCCTCCTTGCATGCTCGGCTGGGTACGTTTGTTGTTAGTGCCGTCTGCTTGGATCTGCCGCTCCACGCGGAGTTGATGAAGCCATGACACCTTTAAACTGATTCCTTTTTATAGGTTTAAAAAAATAAATAACTAAAAATGCATCACTTCCCACTTGCCTAGAAGCCAAATCACTGTGTGTCTAACCCACCTCTCTTTTGAGTTGTATTTCCACTTTTATTTTGTCTTTTTTGTTAAACACACGGAAGCGTGTGCGTGCACACACCAGAACTAATGCATTTTGATTTCCATTCATTTCAAAGTGATCTGTTTGGAAATGTTTGTCTTTTCTTACAGCTTCTGAAGTCGCCCCATAGTCGGTTGCCCCATCACACACCTACTCCTGAATTTGATCCATGTGGCCATCCTAGTTTCCCATAATTTCTCTTATTTTTATTTAGTTTTGTTGCATATTGTGGTGGTGGTGGTGGTGGTCTTTTTTTTTTTTTTTTTTTTTTTTTTTAATTTTTCACCTAAAGTCCCTGAGATCTCCCTATGGCTGCCTCTCACCTCTTCTCTGTTTATCCCCCAACCTTCTGACAGATCAAAGTGGTGAATGCGTTCCGTAGCTCTTTATACGATGGCCTCAAGAAACCCGAATCCAGAAGCTCCATTCATAACTTCTCAACTCACCCTGAGTTCATCCTGGAGGAAGACGAGCCTCGAACCCCATTCCTCGACGACGCAGAAGAAGACTCCAAGACTGATGGACTCGAAAACAAAGGTGGGAGTAGCCCAGGTGAATCCTTCTCCCTCAACCAAAATAACAATGCGGTGGACAGCGATCTAGCCGAGAACACCGTCCCAGAGTTTGAAAGCCCCTTAGACGGCCTGGAATCATCGGTTTGACCTTTGAACTTTGATACTTCCTTCACCCTGAGTCCTGTGTGATATCAGCACCGATAACTGATATTGCAGAGCGGTCACTTCATGTTAACTGCTCATATGTATACAATTTTGTTTTCCTTTTATGATTTAGTGGCAGGAACCAGAGTCTCATGGAGTTGGGAGGGTGCTGTTTGCAGTGGGTACTCGCCCAGGTGGGAAACAAGTTGATATTTCTTCTTGAGTCGGGTTCCATGTGTCCGTAGGGGTTTTTCATTTTGAAAAATGCATGTTAAAAGAAAAGGTTCAGATTGTCTTAAATAGTCTTACATGCACGCTCGCCATCTGAGGGTGCATTTGTGGGGTGACTTGGGGGTCTTTTAGCTTGTGGGATTTGACCCCGGTAACATCACACTTGGGGGTGGGGGAGCAGCAGCATGAAGGTACAGATTTAAAAATTGAACAGGGGGAAGAAAATCTTGAATTGTGTTAAAGAGTAGGAAAGGGAAAAACCAAACCGGTATTCCCTGCGGGAGATTCTGATGGTTAGAGCATGTAAACCAGTCTTCCACCTTGAAAAAATGGTACCTAACCTTTACTACTTTTCTGTCTTTGTATCTCTCTCTCTCTCTGTTTCCAACATGCTAACTGTGATTAAAAACAAGGGAGGAGGGTGATTTAAGAGTCTTAAATATGTTGGCTAAGATGTGATTTGAAAAAGACCCTGCTTTGTTACAAAGTCCCATGGGAGATGCTGCCACCATTGCTGGGAATGTTCTCCAAGAACTGCAATGACTGGAAATAAGAAGTCTTACTTTCTGCGGAACTTTTTAAATGCATCGTTTTGCTCTTGAACTGTATGATGATGGTCAGCAAGAGTTGTGCATAATTGAATAGCAAATCATTTCTGAACCACTTTGGGAAGCAGAGGTGTTTTTGCGTGGTTTTTTTTTATACTGTCAGATTAAATATTCCTTTGGCCCTGGAGTGAGGCTAGCTGTGGCTAAGGTTCATCCCAAAGAACATACCACGTGCTGTACATCCTTTTCAAAGCGGTGGTGGGGTCTGGATGGGAATCGAGTGCCAGCTGCTGATGGAAGGCTGGGGCAGCTTAAGGCTGGGTTTTGCTGCTGGATTTTGCAGGTCCCTTAGGACAGAGAAGAGAGACTGCAGTAGGGAAGGCCATATTTGCATTGGCCATATCTGCATAATCCTATTCAGTGTACATACCTGCCTCATGATGGAATTGTCCTGTCTGTGTGTCTCTAGGGTTGGATGCAAATGGGGGCATTGTCCTGTAACATGGCTGTCTTACTCCTGGGAAGGGAAGGGCACCTCCTTCATCAGAACTTCAGAGGAGGCTTGATAGCTAGGCTTTGCCCCACTCTCCCTTGTCACAAAGGTCCCCTCTCCACCTTAGACCCAAATTTGCCTCTCCTGTTGCCTGGATCTTGTTGCATCTCAGTACTACAGACAGATGCAAGAAATGATGATCCGCGAAGCTAAGGTCATAGCCAATGTAACTTACTCTGGACAAATCCGTTCCAGGATGTCCTGTGCTAATTGTTAATGTGGCTCTCGGTTTTTTAGGTTTGTCCCCTGATATTTAGGTTGTGGCAGGGTGAGAGGCCTGGACTTGAGCTTTTGATCATCTGGGAAGCCACTCAGTGAAATAGTTTTGAGCAAACTCACTTGTGAAGACAAGGAAGGGCTAAATCATGAGTGATGGGAGATGTCTGCAACTCCTGTTGACTTCACTGGGTGCTTTTGTACCTCTGAGTTTGGCCCTAGATTGGTGTCATTGGGAAATGCTGTAGAAGGTTACCTACTTTACTCCCTTATCTAACACTTATTAAATTAAAAGCTCTACCTGGAAGGAAAAAGAGAACCCACTTGCAACTGCCTGTATTAAAGGGTTTGTGACAAAAAAGGGACAGGGGCCTTTGCCCAGTCTCCTTCCCAACAAGCAGATATATCTTACTGAGTGACGTGTTTTTTCTTTTTTTTTTTTAAAAAGAACGCACAGCAAAAACTCCCGTGCCTTTTCCAAGCACTGCCCAAAGCACCGTCTGCCACTTGGGAGCCCGGTACTTTGCCAAGAAATAAGTGTTCCTTAAACAACCCAGTACGGACTCGTGCCCTGGCGCTGTCACGCTTCATTCCACATCTGTTCAGGGTAGACCAATGAAAGGTCCTTCTCACAGGGTCTTCGGCTCCAAGGCTAGTAAAGAGGAGGGGATGCTAGGCTCCACAAACTGCCAATACCAAGAAGAAATAACCACCTGTGCATCTTAATTGCAAATCAAAGCCCATCCCTTTCATCCAGAAAAACCCACCTGCTTCCTTCATTCCTTTCATTCATGTGAGCTATAATTGGGAGGGATTAAGGGGGAAGTTTAGCTGTTTCTTGGTCTCTTACATGACCTATCTGATGGGAAAGAGAAAAGGAGTTTCGTTTTTCTGTTCTAAAGCTTACATTGCTTAAAAGATCATTTTTCTATTTTAAGTACTTGCAAAAAAATACAACTGATGAAAATACGGTGTTCTTAGGCGCTTACGTAAATATTTATTAAATACTTTTGGGGGACACGGATTTTGTTTGTTTTTTTATTACCTCAGACCTGTTTTTGTTTTTTTTTTAAAAAAAAAAGGGGGGGGGAGGGACTTTGGAGTAAACGCTTAAAACGTCACTCCCAGAAGTCTCTGACTGGCAGGTTACCATGAGGGTCTGGTCTACCTTTAGTCAATTTATTTTTTGTTCTAGTTTCAATCATTGGGGGGCGGGGGAGGGAAATTATATATAAATATGCAAAAAATATAGTTTTCTTTAGATCAGAAACTGATATTTTTAAGTCAGCCATATGTATTTTGTTTAAAGGAAAACAAAGCTGTAAATCATGTGTCTGCAATGGAATGTGATCACATGACTGGCAGTTTAAAGTGACAGGTAACTTAAGGATTGGTCAGACGCCAATCGACTTCCTTTCTCTGAGCAGCCATCTTTGTACTAAAAGTTAGTTGGATTACACAGAACCGTTTTTATATAAATTATGTTGGTATGGCTGGTTGCTTAAAGTATAAGCATTTATTGTGCATACTTTTTTATGTAATATTTTTTTCTATTTAGTTTCAGTGATAAACTGGCAGCAGCTAACTATGGCTTAAGTTATTGAGGAAACTTAAAATGGGGAGAGAAAGAGATGGTGCATTCAATTTAAAAGGCATGGTAGCCTAAATGAATTTCATGAAACATGCCTTGAAAGATGGAGAGAGGTTTATTTTATTTTTTTTTTTACTGCCAACAGAACGAGTCGGGGGGAGGGAATTAGGTAGTGCCATATCAGACAGGAAATGAAGTAATCTCCTGTGATACGTGTTAACTTGCCTTGGAATGCTGTGTTGTTAAAACACTTTAAACTATTTTGCGTCCAATTCTTAAGGGTAGGGTCTGTTTTGTTTTGTTAAATCAAGTGGCGGATTGGTACCAAAGACATTACATCACTTCCTGTGTGCAATGGTGAATATCCATTTCTAGGAGCTTTCATCATGTGATTAGGTTCGAAAGGGGGATGTTTGTTTGCACAGGGATCTGACTTTAATTTTCAAAGGTTTTGTGCAATAAGTTTTTAAGGAAAAACATTTACAACAAAACAAGAAAAAAAAAATCTCCAGAAGGAAAAATACTAAACTGAATTTTAGCCATGGGTAGGCTGTAAAAAATAAATGAGCTGGGGCAGAGGAACATGTTCAGTCTGTCCCTCATCTAGAAGCTTTCTCTGTGGGGAGCATGGATGATTTGTGGCGGGTTTAACTTTGGATCATGCTGGGGAAGAGGCAATTCAAAGCCCATGGCTGACTCCCACGGCCTTCAATGGGTTCTGGATCAGGCCCTCTGAGGAAGGGATCTTCGAGAAGATCGGTTGCTATAGTGACTTCTTCCAGCATTCCACCAAGCAGGGACCCTTCCCCCCCCCCCCCCGCCAAAAACAGTCACGGCCTTTGATTTTCATGTATCCCAAGGTTTTCTGCCTTCACATGTGTTTTTGGGGCAAATGGCTGTTGACTATTGTCTCTGGGAGCTACAGCCCCAAGAGGAGGGGAAGGGTGATGGTAGTTCTGTTTGTGCCGTGAGAAAGTCTTAGATGACTTCATCTTCTGCTTTCCCTACCTCCTTGTGAATTTGCCAATTTTCTGAGCTATCCATAAGGATCTCCTGAAATGTGCTCTGAAAACTCAACTCCCCCACACATATATCCCAGCCGTAAATCTTGCTGAGAGAAGGACAAGCTAAGTGTAGTTGTGGTGAATATAACTTTGGCCTGATAGAACTGACCATAACTCCTTCAGGCTTACCTAGGATTTGTGGGTCAAAAACAATGCTGCTTTGTGGCTTGTGCTGTCCTATTCATGATGGTGTCTTTTCCCTTTCCTTGTCAGTAATTCTGCCCATCTCTTCCTCCTCGCTGTCTGACCTCTTGTGCTTTATGCCTCTGATGTCCCTGCTGATCCCCCCCCCCCCCCCCACAGAGGGGGCTGTGGTTGGGATGTTAAGTTAATTAGCCTTTCAGCAAAGTCCATGGCTAAAATGGCCTTTAGTTTATTTCCTAACCCTCAATAAATATATATACAAAAATATACTTTGTATGTATATATTTATCTGATTCTCTTTTAAAAAAAAAACAACAAAATAACCAAAATCTTTCTTTTGAAAAAAGCACGCAGGTTTGAATTTGAGTTTTTTTTCAGTAACTAGTATAATAAGCACTGGTATTTTTGTATTTAAAAAAAAAAGAAGAAAAAAAGACACAATAAAAGACTGAATATTATGTGGTATGCATGACATTAAAAAAAATGGTGGTTTCAAAGCAATATGTACCCTGGTGTGTTTGCCATAACCTAGAATCCAGCTTAAAGTGCACCTGATCTGTATTTGCATTTTGATATTTAATCTCTCTGTATGATGTTTTGCATGTAATTTATATGGTTCTTGGGGAGGAAAAAAATACTTTTTTGAATGAATTGTCAACTAGCTGCTTCTGGGAAAATTTGGAACTCAAAGCAGAGAATGCTGTGATTGGAAATGGAAGGGGCGGGGGGAAACTACGTAACGGAAGATAAAGCGGGGGAAACAAAGGGGTAACGTTTTGAATCAATAAAGCTTTTGCTGTTGAGCAGAAACAATGTGCGAGTGCATCAAGAGAATAAAATGTGCCCACACGTAATTGTGCTGTCCTTAGTGTATGTCTACTAGCTTGTGAAGTCACTGATCATCTACTGAAGCGGAGATGAAGGACTGCACTTAAAGGCTCACCTCAGAGCAAAGCTGTAGTGTGGAAACTGGTGGTGGCTGATTTTGTTTCAATCTCACACCATGAAAAAAAATTTATTTAAAAAGGTTTTCCAACCTCCCTCTTCAGATGTGGATGACTGTACTGAACTGTTTGTTCCCATCGTTCTGACTTCTACCATCTGCGAGCAAGGTCCAGAAGCAGCTGTCAAATACTAGCCAAAGCGAATGCCTTCTCACAGATATGGCCATGTGGACATTTTCCCATTCCTCTGACGGTGTCCCTCCAAAAACTCTCCAAATGCAGTATGTGGCAATAGAGTTGAACTGCATCTTTCTAGTGTTGACCTCAATTCAGTAAAGCCCTTTAAATATCTAAGTCCATCCCTCTTTTAGTCACATACTTAAGTGTTTTGTTGAGCTGGAGTCTCAAAAGCAGTTAGCTATTGAAATTCATCCAAAGATGTAGCTGAAACAAGTCCTGATCCTTTGGCATTTATGCTCAGGAAGGGCTTTACTAATCTGAGTAGTCTTAGCAGCATCAGTGGGACTGTTCCCACAAGTAAAACTATTCAGGGGTTTCACCATTTTTAGGAGCAATTTTGAAGACGTAATGGAGATTTTGACCACATGGGGGGGCGGACATCCCACCTGTCATTACTGCACAGTCAGCTCAGGAGAGGAACTTGGGCTGAAGGCAGAGCTGGGATGGGAGAGGAGCTGGGGCTAGAGATGGAGACTTGTGGGAATGAGGGCAGAGCTGGGCAGTGAAGCTGGTATAGGTGGTGCTCCCTCCTGTTGGGGCTGGCCTGGGTGCCCCGCGCACGCACCCCTCCACACACTTTCAGTGGTATGCCCCCATAGTTTGAGGACCGCTGTCCAGAGACCAGCAAATCAATTGATGTGAATTAAGCTTAGATCAGAGCTTACGTGACTGGGAGAAGTGGTTACAGGAATTATAATACAAGGGCCTGGCAGGGTCACTCTTGTTCCCAGTGGAGTGCTGTCAAATAGTGAACCTCTTCTTTGGGATCACACACTAGCTAACCCCTAAGGCCTGTCTCTTTGGTTTTAAAAGATGCAGTCAGAAATGTAGTTTATTCTTAAAAGTAAAAGCTGGTTCTGATTGGATGCTATTCAGCAGAAATGCTCCAAATTTTCCCAATGGTTTCGGACCTAGTCCTTTTTTCTGAACAGCAGCTGCGATGCTAATTTACAGAGTTGTGTTGTTTTTTCCCATACCCAGTTATGCCAATAATTGTGGCTCACACTGTCAGTCTCTCATTTTTGTGCATAATTGTATGTTCCTTTGTGATTGTGTTGGCCTGTCGCTCCTTTTGTGTGATAATTTGGTTGGTTGGGCATTGGCAGATACGAGCAAGATCATTATTCCCACGGCCACTGAGCTTGCATCTTCTGTTTCCATCCTGCCACTTTGATGGGAACTCAACTGCCGTTAATTCTACCAAGATATGTTGTTATGGGGCCAGGTTACCAGCAGCAGAGGCACTGGAATGGGGTCACTGGTGAACCACTTTGAGGTCCCACAGTAGCCAAACTTGTGTGTGACTGGGAAAGACTAAAATATTGGACTCCATGTGTCTCCATCAAAGTTGGGCCCAAACTGAGTGGAGAAGAGAGATCAGGATACAAGCCCCAGCAGATTGGGCCCAGATCCTCAAAGGTATTTAGGCACCTAACTCCTTACACCTTTTGACAAGCTGGGCCTTCCTCCCTTAGGCTCTTGGGGTGGATAAATAGGGCAAAAGTTCTGTTTAACATAAATGGCTTTGCACAGAGCGGTAGCATGACCTGGATTTGGTGTGAAACAAGCAACTTCATGTCGCTGAAATTGGTAGGTCGGGGAGTCCAGCGTGCCCCTCATTACTCAAGTTTCTTTTGCTGGAAAGGCCATGCTCCCTAAGGCTGGGCCTGCATAGGGTTTGAACAAATATAATTTTTTTTCAGTGGGAGGGGTGATTTCCTACTACTGTAATTATACCAGTACAAGCCCTAGTCTAGATGTAGTTATACTGGCATAGCTTATTCTGCCTTCACTTATTGGAATAAACTATCCTGGTATAAGCACCTTTATATTGGTATAACTGTATCCCTGTAGTTACAGCAGCAGACAAGCCCGTGGTGGTGATCACTTTCATGGGTGGGCATAGCTAATCTTAGCCTTAAATTTCAGGTGAGATTCCTTAGGTTTAGTCTACATGAGGAAATTTACCAGCATAATTAATTATTTCTAGTTACATTGAGAAGTGTCTCTATATGAACGCTTACTCCAGATTAAAAGTGCCTTCTTTCTGATTTTTCCTGGAGTGCTTTTGAAGGGTTTAAATTAAATCAGAAAAAAGGCACAGTTATTCCAGCATAAGAGTGTCTAGGTGGGGAAATTTACCGGTATAACTAGCCGTATAATTATGCCAGTTTTTCCTGTATAGACAAATCCTTAAACCCATGGGTCAGATCCTCAGCTGCTATAAATCAGCGTCGCATCCTTGAAGCCAATGGTGCTCTGTTGACTGACACCTGTAATATTCAGTAGACTCACCGCTGCAGAAAAGTTCTGCTTTTCAGAAGTGCAAAGCACCTGTGATTCCATTTCCAGTCAAAGTCAGTGGGAGCTGGAAGGGGCTCAGCACCTCTGAAAAGTCAAGCCACAATTAAAAATTACTACTTTTTTTCAGAAAGGAATACAACTGATTTAAAAAGGCTCCCAGCTGCGCACAAGTGTTTACTTCCCCATGCATGTTACAGTGTAGGGCTAAGTATTTCCTGAGCTTTTACCTCCTCCTGAGCCAGACTTTTGCTACCTTGGCTAGTTTGCTAACTGCTTTTGGGTCTTGACTCAACTCCATTTCACAAGAGCCTCCTACCTCATTCTTCATTAACTGAATGGGGTGGTTGACTGAGAACTCCTGCAGCCTGCCTGGGGTCGCGATTTAATGTAAGTGATGAACTTTTGCTGCTTTAAACAGCCAAACAAAAAAAAAATGGACCCAGCGACTCACTGCCTTAGTCTGTGGTTTAATAAGAAAAAAAAGCAAAGCCTCATTAGATATCAGTGCTACATATTTACTGCTTCTGTCCTCCATGTCTGTCGGCGTCTATGGTCCTCCACTGTGTGTCTCTGACAAATGCAGACTGAATAGGGGAGGCCATCAGTCATTCATGGGCAAGCATTTTTTAATCCCGTTGTAAATAAAAAGAAACAAAATTGTCACCTGTTTATTTCCTTCCTGGTGTGTTTTGGGCTTCATCAGCGTCAAACCAAAAATAATAAAAAGGGAAGTGTGGGGGTGGGGTAGCTGTTTGTGTGTGGCTGGTATTTGCTCTCATTTCATAGTCCTCTAAGCATGGGGAGATGTGGACGTTACGTCAAGGCGGGCTGGGGTCTAAGATGCACAGGACAGACATCTCTGCCTACTCCCCTGCAGGCCTTTTATTAACACCACGCTCGGTCTCTCTCTAACTTGCCCCATTGGGTTATTTCTTGGAATGAGCTGGGCCAGGGTGAAGCACTGTACTTCTAAATCGCTAGCTCCACGGGGCTACAGTCAGGCCAATGGGACCTTGAGCGATCTAGCTGAGAGCTTGTCGGTACGCAGCTACCCTAACTCTGCCACTGGCTGCCATCGATTGCTCTAGGAGTGCTCCCTCTAAAGGCCTGCCGATGCTTGGAAAGTACATTGTGTTTGACATGTCAGTCACCATACTGTAAAATACAGCTGAACATTCACATGGGCCCTAGGGTTAACCATACCCAGCTGAAACAACGCTAGACCCGCTCATTCTTTTCTGTGCTGAGTTTCACATTATATGAGCTAACATGTCAATTCCGTGTGTAGACACTGGCAAGTTGGAGTTTGCATCAGTTGAGCCTAATGGGGTTTAGCTTAGCTTGCCCTTGTCTAGTCTGAGGGATCAGTACTGGTGAGTTAGGCAGTAGTGGCCAGCAATCAGGCTTAGCCTGAGTGTGCACAAAATCTAGGAAGCTTTTTCTCCCCGGTGATTGTTTGTCTTTTCCTGTCTCTTATCTCTGTCATCTCTTCCTGGTTATGTTTTATTTCCTAACCTTTTAATTCCCTCTTTTCTGCTGTGAACACCTAAATTTGGTCTCTCTCCATTTCTTTATCTTTCAGTCACACCTTTCCCTGCTGCTGACCTGGGGGCCTAACCGGTGGTGCTTTGGGTTGCCATGCGGAGGCCCAGCGTTAGTTTTTCTGACACAGCTGCTTGATACCTCAGCTGGTAGCTGTAGCGTGGCTACACTTTGGTTTGAGGGAAGAAGAATCTTCGATAGCTCATTAAAAAATAAGGCTGATGAGTATAAGGAAGGGAAACCTATCCCATATGGCTCATCTGTTTGCACTCACAGGGCTTCAGCAGTGGATGTCAAAATGGAGGAGCCCCTCCAATATATCCGCTGTAGAGAATAAAACAATCTTTCCCTTGGTTACAGTGCTTCCTTTTGTATCGCAGAAAACAAGCTCTTGTTAGGACCAGGGCTTTCTCCTCTAGTGCAAGGCAACCAGTTTAAATGCATTGCTATTTTTGTCATGCCATGGGTGTGCATAAGCCGGGCTGGGTCTCAGAGCCAGGTAGGCTTGCAAGCCAAGTTAGAGGTCGTGCAGACATACAGGCACGGTTGGCATGCAGAAGGCTTATAGCATCACCCTAACTAAGGTGATTTTTTTTTTTTTTCCACATAATGAAAATGTGTGGTGGGGTAGGAGAAAGGAAGCACAACGGGAGGAGTGAATGACCCATTATGTAGGGGTATAGCCAAGAACTGTTCAACAGCAGGTGGGATGCTACACCCACCTGTGCAGGTTGAAAGGCTGGCTCCATGCTCTGCCGCTTTGCTGCCTCGTCTGTCAGAGGAGACAGGAAACTAACGTGATGGGTTTTAAGGGTAGAAGGGGTCATTCTGATCATCCAGTCTGAGCGTGTGCAGAGACTCATTGGAAGGCAGAGCGGAAAAAGACTTCGAGAGGCCCTCTAGGCCAGCCCTGAGGCATAGTACCGATCTCTGCCAGTCCCGTTCTGATGCAGCAGCTGGGTTGCCTGGGGTGAATGAAATATCCCACAGCCCTCCAAGAAAAAGAGGAGATAACCCTCAGCATGTGGCTCCGGTTTCTGCTTACCAAGCAGGTTCCAAGAGCCAAAGCTGTCAATTAGGTGCTGTACGTGTGCTACAGTAATGTCCTGTGTTACCGTGAGCTCCTTGAATTGATGCCCTAAGATTCATGTATTTAGATTGCAGCTCACCATCCCCATAGGTGAGCCGCTTTCAAGACACTGAAAGGACAAAAATCAAAATATTAAGGAAACTGACAACGGTGTCAAGTCGCCAGTACTCCAACACTGATGAGTCATTAATGCAAGAGCACCAGATAATGGCCATAATATCCAGCTCCTATTTCCTGCCCATCTCCTCCCCAATCACTCATGAAAAGTTTCCTGCACCGTTGCAGTGTGTGTGCGCCCAAGAAGTTAACAAAGGCAAACGTACAGGGAGGTTGTGGAATCTCCATCATCGGAGATTTTTAAGAGTCCGCTAGACAAACACCTGTCAGGATGGTCTAGATAATATTTAGTCCTGCCAGGAGTGCAGGGGACGGGATTGGAAGACTCTCGTAGTTCCCTCCAGTGCTCCGATTCTATGTTCCAAGTCCATCCCAGAGAAGGCCCTGCCAGCGCTGTTTAACGTGAAGTGGGTCCTGCTCAACTGCTCACAGTCACAGCAGTTTCACACAGAGAGGGAGGCAGGCAGGCAGGTCCCAAGCCATGGATACAGTTGTTAACTAACAGCTTTCTCCAACGGCATGGAGTTCATTGAAAGCTCCTGCTCTATTTGGTGGCATCCCTGCCTTGTGAATCTCTGTCACACACTTTAAAGGCCCCCTGTCGCTAATCCAAACTATGGCAGCTACAGAAATATTCCAGTACTTTGCTCATCTGTCACCACAGATGGAAAGCATCGACCAGGGTGTCAAGTCTAATGGCTCCCAAGCTAGGATCTGTTGACCACCATTGGCTTGCAGAGCATTCACTGATGGTCCATGGAAATCTGTCTGGTCAGTAGTGCTGGCGGCTCCTCGTTTCCTGCTACTCCGATGCTTTAGAAGAAGCTAAAAAAACCCTAAACTTTCCCAAGGATACTTTCCCACACAAGCAGTTGTTCTGGTCACTGATGTTATTTGATCATCAGTGGGATGGGAAGTGGGCTGCGTGATTGTGAATGGGAGGGAATGTGTCCACAGGACATCCACCCTCTGTTAAGCTATGGTCTGTGCTACGCAAGTGTTTGAGAACTCCATGGCATAGTAGCTGACTCCAGCATTGTTCTCTGGACAGTATTTTTCTAAAGCTTTGTCCAGTCTAGATTTAAATGCCCCAAGCCCTGGGGCACCTGTCCTTTGGAAGAAAGCACCTTCGCTATGAGCATCACAAAGCACTTTAACAAACAGTAATGAATATAGCCAAGTATCACCCCTCATTATACAGATGGGGAAACTGAGAGACGTGAGATATCTAAGGACACCCAGCCCATGAGAACAGAGCCCAGGAGTCCTGGAATCCAAAGGCCTGATTCTCTACTGCCTTGCACCTTGTGGGATCCTTTTCACCTGCGCAAAGTGAGTGTGCAATGCTGCCACATCAGAATTGTCCACACTCATGTTCACTCGCCTCTTACTTTGCACAGGTGTAAATGACAACACAAGGTGCAAGGCAGTGGGGAGGGCTTCTAGGCCTGTGCCTTCACTATGAGACCATACTACCTGCCACAGTGGGAGGCTTTAGGGAGTTGGGGATGGTGGCTAACAGCAGGCAGGCAGCTGGACAATCAACATCTCTTGGCAAAGTTCAGTGATGGCAACCGGACACCCAACAAGGTCTGAGCAAGATTGGGAGAGGGCGGATGAGGAGTTAACTGGGGGTCAGGTAAGGTAGAGGTGGGGGAGCACAGTCACACTTGTGAACATGAGGGAAAGAAAGAGACAGGGAGCAAAATAAACCAACAGGTACCAGGAGCAAGTGAGAGGGGAGAGAAAAACAGAGTGGGGAAGCCAGCCAAGGAGAGGAGGGAGTTCCTGGCTATTCCCTCTGCTTGCTTGGGTTTGGAATTGCTGTCTGACAGTTTGGATTTGACCATTAGAATAACCATATTTGCTCCCATTCTCCCCCCGCTCCTCTCCACACACACAGTGAATGCTTATCAATTTCTTCCAGCAAGGGAGAAATGGATTGAAGGCTGGGGGATGTGGGAGTACCAAGGGGATGCACAGGCATGGACCCCACGAGAGGGGATGCTGTCTCAGCCAGGGGAGAGGGTGGCTGTTTTATCCAGCACCCCTGTCTCCTCTCCTCCCAGATCCCTTTCTCCTTCCTACATTTCAACCTCCCTTTTTCCTTTCCCTCCTTCATCCTTTGTTGCCTTTTCAGCCTCCTCCTTTGTCGTTTCCCCCTTTCATTCTCCTTCCCATTCCCTCTTTCCTTCTTCCTTTGCAATTTGGCTAATGATAGTTTGAATTAGCAAAAATATTTTTCCAGCTTAAATCCTGTTCTAGTAGTATCAGAACATCCATGTCTATTTGGATGTGCCTTTGCATCAAAGCTCTACAGGTGAAATCTGGGCCGAGTGAAGTCAACGTGGCGACTTGCAAGAGTACTTTTATGGCTTTATAAATCTATACCAGTAAGGTACTGTAATTAAATTATTAACATATTGGGCAGTGCTTAGGAGCCCCAGTGATGGCCCAAGACTCCATTGTGCTAGGCACTGTACAAACACAGAACATAAAGATGGTCCCTGCCCCGAATACATGCTAGGAAATCACTCTTTTTCCACATACCATTATATAAGGCCCTGGTTTTCAGGAATGATCCACATCCCCAACCCCATTTGCAGTCAGCAGGAACTTCGAGTGCTCAGCACCCGTGAAAGTCGGTCTATGACGTTTTTGTTGTTTGGGGGAATCTTCTGGTGGGATGCCAGAGACGACACAAGACAATACTATTACTGCCAACCCCAAACATCTAAAAATCAGAGCTCAGCCTCCACTTCAGAATCATGAGATTTTTAAAATAATAATTGTTTGGGTCCTTGATATTTGTCTTCTCTTGTCTGAGCCTTTGGGGCTGAACATTTACAAGCTTTTCGCCACAAACACAAGGGCTAGAAACTTATGTTAAAAATAATCACATGACCCCAAGGGCTGG